TCTGAAGGAAATACAGCACAGGGTTTACCACAGACGAGACCCAGAAAATGAAGAGACTTGGGCTGATTTTTCAGGAATAACAAAAGCATTAAAATGAAATCCAAGAAATCCAACATTCACAAGGGCAACTGGAGCTTTCTACCTACATAAACCCAGTTTAATTTCCCATTAGGTCAGCAGCCGGAGGGTATAAAAAACATATGTCAGTGCGTAGGGATGTCTTCAAAATGTGAATTACTTTGCACACACTCACCCTAAAGGTACAGGACAGCAGGGAAAACAAGTGCACACGAGTCAAAAGATGATACACAATCCCCCTATAGGCACGTCTATTATTCTACAGGGTGCGGAGCAGTGGCTCTGTGGCTGAGGATCTGTGCCTGTGGCTGGAATCCTACTCCGTTGGGCCCCTGAGCAAGGCCCTTCACCCCAACTGCTCCAGGGGCGCCGTATAAATGGCTGATTCTGCACTCTGACCCCTAATTTCTTGTATTAGGAATTTGTCTTTTCGCATACCCCAGCTTGCTCTCCATGGGACACACAGACAGGGAGAGAAGCTTGGGGTCAGCCATTTATACAGCACCCCTGGAGCAGGATTCCTCTGCCGGCCGTGGGATACGAACTGGCAAACTTCCAGCCACAGGCGCAGATCCTGAGCCACAGAGCCACCCCTCCGCCCCAAATGTATTTCCCCTTAGTTTCCACATGTGTTCACGTTGCACTAATTCTGTAGGAGTCCACTGGGCAGACGCCGTCAGTGTCCTCAAGAAGTCGTTATACTTGAAAACGCCTCCTCGGAGTCCTCTTTGTTCAAGAGTACTGCAGTTATCTTTCCTTCAGCTGCGGTTTTCACAGTTGGAGGCAGTTTAAATCGCACAGTCTGCACTTTTTGGAAAAGAAAACATACCTGATGTCTCCGAGATCGTTCTTGTTTCCTGCTATGGCTACAACAATGTCTTCGGGCCCATGTTCCTTTAACTCTTTTACCCATTTCTTTAAAGTCTGAAAGGAGTCCTGCAATGATACGGATCCATGTAATTTGAGTATTACATTGTTTACAATAGCACAATAATGTGTTTCTCTTCACTAACTGTTCAAGAAAATAACCTGCCACACAAACAGTTGATTGACTGAAATAGTGATGGTAAAGATACAGAGCACTGGACAAGGTAACCCACCTTCCAGAAATACACATCGCTGTCCATGTCAGTTCACTCTCCACAACAGCCTAGACATCCTATACTGTTTACAATTGATCTGGAGTCTCTGCAGTCTGTTTCTGCTTAACTCAAATCACCTGAGTCACCTCCAGATCTGACATGTACTCGAATGGGATAAAGTTTGGTGCAGAACATCACACTGGGGGACATTCTCTTCATTCTCTGTCAGTGTCTTCGGCTAGTCCGACCACTTAACACACTGGGTGTTTACAGACAGCAGCACCACTGGAACATCTGCTGATTATGCATGAACGTTCTAGCTTTTCGACGAACGTTCATAAGCATAATGTAACACAAATGCAAGACAACTGCAAGCCAGGCAGCGTCCTGCAAAACAGGCTGTAAACAATGGGGGGATTATTAAAATAAACGATCACTATGAGCTGGACTGTGGCACAAGGCACTGGATCTTGGATCGTACCACCAAAACGGTATACGATATGGAATGAAAAATCTTGTTTAAATGCTATAAGAGATATATATAGAAGACACAAAAACAGAGAAACTACAACAGAAAAATCACGCATTCCAACTCCCTCCATTGGATCCCACTGACCATCCCAAAGCACTTAGGAACTGATAAAAACACTTTATAAGCATCATCAGGTCACCATGTTAACTTTGTGCTGAACAACTGGCATAGGGCAACACAGTGTGCCTGAACATGAATACCTTCCAACCGACACAAACCTGCACATTATTGTGTTCAGTGTTGAGTTACAGTGCAATCTGCTGTGTCACAAGGCAAGGCAAAGTGTACAATCCAAGTCCGTACATAAACGGACCCATTCCCAGTAGGTGGTGTGCGATACAGTATGGAAGGCAATTACAGTGTTTATTTGTATCTCCTCGACAGTGCAAGGCAGAGACAACCTTGAGACAATCTTCTCACCGCAGGGCTGCGCCTGGTTTCGTACAGAAGTACGCCCTCACAGTTATGCATGGCCGAGTGTTACACACTTCTGTCAGGCTTTCCCGGTACAATGCAGGTATTGCAGCGGTTTATGCTGAGTGGAATGCGATTTCTAATATCAATACCATCAGTTAAGAGCGCTGCCAGCAACAGATGGCGTCCAGATATAATACTGATTTTGTTCTTTTGAAAAACAGCCCCCAGTGGTATTTAACATCCATTCTTTTGGTTAGTGTATGAACATTATGTGACATCCATTCTTTCTGCTTAAGGCATAAATCAATAACTATTTTTCTTGTGATAAAATTGTATGTGATAAAGTAATAAAAATCACACTAAACTCATCTGTTGCATGTTTAAAGCATCACAGACTCATTTGTAGGTACTGCTATGCTTATGCAACAATTGTTATGATTCTTCTAAATCATTCTCCACAACAGTTTCAGCAGAGAGGAGAGGAAGGAAAAAAAAAAACACCTTTATGCAGTTAACTGATTGCATAATCAAGGTAACCTTTTAAATATTGCTGAAATTTGCACATAAAATAATGTCACTACTCTATTAAATTGCTCTTTTAAACTGGCCTGGTTGTAATACAGTGACATTAGTAATTCATCTGACAACTCAGCTCTACAATTCATTTTTCCCCACACAGACACACTCAATGTAAAATGCATTAGAGGAGCTACTGCTCCTCAGGAAGCCATGAAGCCTATTAATAACACTGACACCTATTTAAAGGTTAGATCGGTGGATTTTGATATGTACTGAGTTTGGCAGGTTTCCTCATAAATACTGTAATAACAATGGAACTGTCACCAGTGGCCACTGCAAAAGCAGCCAGAAAGAATTGTTCATATGTACAATACAGTACACTCATATGTGCACACTAATTAATTAATTGATTGGAAGATTTTCACATGGACTTTTAGTTGTGCATACAAGTACGTATTAGTGAACAGAGCACGGCTGGTAAAAATTTACAATATTATATATTTTTTGGTTACTAAAAAAAACATGTACTGTCTCAATAACAGTGTGACATTAAATGTCTGAATGTCATGCATTAGGTGATTTCTCACTGCAGTACTGAGTTACAATATTATTTATTCAAGGTCAGACTGAGCATTAACATTCACAGCATCATATCTGTTATTTTATTAATCATTTCAATTGCTTCCCACATCTACAACATTAGTGTAATGTATGACATTGTTAAAAAAAGATTTTATTAGCAAATGTTGCAGAAAAATAGGAAAGTGGTGATCACATTTGTTTCTGAGCAACAGTTAAATCTACTACGAAGCATAATAAACTCATATAAAGATCTCCAATAAGCAAAAAAACAAAATGTTTTATTTTTACATGAAAGGCAGACATTTACCAGTTTAGTGATGTCATAGACTATGACAGCTGCTGCAGATCCTCTGTAATACATTGGTGCCAAAGAATGAAACTGAAACAAAGAGAGAAATCATCTCAGAAATCAAGAAAAGGAATATTTTCAAACTGTGTATCTCAGTGCCTTGAGTTTTTTTAATCTGTCCATTCAAGATGGATCACGATCGTCCCTCGGTGTTCAGACTGAAAATCACTTCAAACCTCAAGAATTCAATTCAGTGCTGAATTGGTCAGTGGATCTCATCCAGATGTTTCTTGAAAGAAACTAAGGGTATTGGAAACTATAGCCCAATCAGTATTACTTCTCATACAGGAGAGGTTTCGGATTTGAGAGTTAATGCCAATTCAGAAGAATATGTAGGAAATAACAGCATTTCAAGTGGCATTCAACGTGGATCTAGAAAGAGGTGTTCCTCTCTAACATGCTAGAATTCTTCAAACAAGCAACAAGGAACTGGCTTGTCCTTTTATTTCCATGGCTATTAACTTTCTGAATTTGGACAAGTAGCTAAGGGTTATATTTTCAACACCTAACTTGTTTATTCATTTCACTCACCAACAATACATCTTTATTTTTCTATTTCTTGGTAGTGAGAATTATTTCAAGTTTCTGAATTGTTTTTTTAATGCTATGCATGTATGTTTTGTTTGTCAAACGGATTAATGTTGCATTGAATGCATTAAATATTGTGTTTCTTCTTTTACCTGCCTGAAAAGCAAATTTCCCATCTGGGACAATAAAGGAAGTAAGGTAAGCAAATAAAATTAATCTTCTATACATAAAACATAAAATGTTTACACTTGCAGAAAGCTTGCAATAAGGTCCTTCAAAAAAGGGTTAATTCTCAAGTATAAACACCAGACCAAGGAAAACTACAGTACGCAAATTCAGAACAAACAAGAAACACAGCCTAACCTAAGGGTATAACTTCTGACTGGGCCACAGGGAACCATTTCAGACCAAAAAATGATCTTTTTCAATTATTTAAATTGTGATATACGTGTACCGGTTCTGGTTGTTTGTTCCAAATGTGTAAGGAAAAAAAAACAGCAGTGGAAATAGGAAATTCTTTGTATTTACATTTAAGTAGAATTTTCCAGTGTCCTTTACAGTTCTTTTTATTATCCCTGAACTGCACATAGTACATGTTATTACATGCAGACTAGTAAATGTATGCTTTGCAATTATATTCTAAACAAGGGAAGTCTATGACTTAAAAGAAATTAAGTGTGAGAGGATTTTAGACACTGCCTCCGTTATATCAATGTGAAATATATAAAAGCATTTGACAACACCTTGATGCAATGCTTACTGACAGAGATGGCTATGCGAGCATACTGTGTATATTAAGATAATCCAGGGTGTTATCCTGCTGTTACCAAATTCCCCCCTACCCTTTACCAATCATGGCCTCCTAACAATCCCCATCTCTGAACTGGCTTCACCACTCTGCTCTGGTGCTCTGAGCTGGTGTGTGGGGAGGGTACTGGCCCACTCTGGCTGCCAGCGCATCATCCAGGGCCTGCAAAGCGCTTTAAGTGAAGTTTTCCCAAAAAGTACTATATAAGTGGAATGAATAATAATAATAAACCTTTGTTCCCTAACAAACATTCACCAAAATAAATAGGTGTGTTTCAAACGTTTGTCTAGTAAATTTTGAAAAGAAGCTTCAATAGTTCCAAAGACATAAGAATACAAGGGATACCATAGGAAGGAATTCTCTTGCAAAGCATTTTAAATACATATATACGTTTTTATTATTAAGGAATGTAACTTGTTTAGATATTAGTTTTAAGATAATTTCCATAGACAAACATACATTTAATATTTGACCACTACCAACTATGAGACCTACTACAATGTGTACGTGAGTCAGCAGTTCGTAAAATCAATGCCCAGACTGGTAAGTCCAGTAATGTAACTCCAGACTGGTAACCATGAACCAACAAACTGCAGTCAAGCATTTGTTTTCAACAACTAAAACTGAAAAAAAGTGGACGGATAAATATGTTGGATATAGTTAACATAAACTCATAAAACAAGTTTTCAGTTCACACAGGAACTTTTTCCCCCAAACACTTAACAACCGATATTTAAAAATCCAGCCTGAAGCTAACAATGAGAATTCCTTATGTTCCAACAACACTGTGAGAGCTGAATTCTGCCCACATGAATCACCAGGACACATCTGAATCTGCAGCTCAGTCTAATTTGTGGTATTTTACAGTATATGTATACTATTACTAATACTATTCATTCCAGCGTTCAACCCTCTGATGTCATTTTCCATTTGAATTCCACTTCTTTTAAATTCAATGCTTCACCACGCAGCTTTGAAGCAGCGACTATTTCGACAATGACAAAAATGACAAAAGGCAAGTGGGACTGGAAGCGTATTTAACAGAACAAGCAGCACGCAGAGGCTTGAGAGACGAGGAGAGGCGAGTTCCAAGCTGAGAGAGCCCTCACTCATCAAGATTGATCTACTTTCAATGTGGAATTAACTTTTACTTGTTTTAATACTGTGTACTTACGCATTTATACCTATAAACAGATAAGATCACTTTATTGGCCATATATAATTTCTTGCATTAGGAATTTGTCTTCTAGCATACCCCAGCTTGCTCTCCATTTGGCACACAGACAGGAAGAGAAGCTTGGGGTCAGAGCGCAGGGTCAGCCATTTATACAGCACCCCTGGAGTAGTTGGGGGTTAAGGGCCTTGCTCAGGGGCCCAACGGAGTAGGATTCCTCTGCGGCCGCGGGATACGAACCAGCAACCTTCCAGCCACAGGCGCAGATCCTGAGCCACAGAGCCACCGCTCCGATATTCTGAGTGTTTATGCACGGCCCTTTGGCCCATTCATAGAATACAGTTTATACGTACCCTTTCTTGTCCAGCTGTGTCCCAGATCAGGAATTTGTGAAGCTCACTGCCACACGGAACAGTCTTAGTCAGAAAGGATGCGCTGAAGGCCATTAAAGGAATGAAAGAGAAACTAAGCGTTGAGTCATTTAGTCAGAAACTCTTCGTAAACTGAATTACAAGACATTGAATGAAATCGTTATTGAACTAGTGATCCGATGGCTATCATGAGTTTAGAAGGGTAAAACTGTCTACAGATACTATCTGACTAATTTTGCATGACATTTTCTTTCACTGTTTGTGTGTCTGATATGACAGCCTATTCATTTCTCAGGTTCAAGTTTTCCCACTGAACTCAATAACATTATTCAATTTTGCAGTTTAATCATGTAATACATGTACAATACATTACTATTGCTGTAGTCTGCTACAGGTACTAATACTATTCATGTTTATTACATAAAATAATACATACATATGTTTATTAACTAATACTAAAGAGAATTTCCTATAAATTTGACGACCTCTTGTGTCAGGACTTTAAAACTTTCTGTAAAACTGAATCAAGGTGAATCACATCTCTGAACAATTAAAAAGGAACGTTTAATTAAGTTAGGTCAGGTAATAATTTAAAAACAGAACCAAATGATCAACATCTGGAAAATCTATTTGCTATGGCCCTTCATTTGTACAGTAATAACTGACTTATGATCTGGATTTTATCCCTGGCACAGTATTGTGAAACATACTTGTGATTTTTCCATATAAAAAAATCAATAAGGAAACTCAAAATATTTTAATGTAACTATAAATTAATAAAAGCTGGTATATTCAAAAGTGAACTTCTGTCATGGCATAACAATTCTTGTGAAGTTCAAGAAGGCAAAAGACCTTCCTTTGCCAGAATAAACTGCCTCCCTTTATAATATGATTTACTTTAAAATCCATTCACATCAAAACGGAGTAAAAATTCCTTTTTCATCACCAAGAGAACTTACAAATGAGAGCTCTGTTTACCAATCTTTTTAGTTCCCATATCCCAAAGGCAATTTCTGAATCACTGCTGCTAACTATATTCCCTCCTTTAAATCAGTTGTTTGCCACTTAAATAATTCAATTTCCCATCTTTCCAAATCCAAGTGAAAACAGATATTTAAAATATAAATATATATTGCATGACTACAGAATATTTTGGCAGAATTGATCATGTGCTTCTGTTTATTTATGACACTATGTTGCAGATTATAAACTATTAAAACCTCACAGAAAGTCTCTTCAGACGAACAAAGAAAGCTACTTACTCCTGTTTTCTTGTTCAAAAGTCAAAATACCTTTCATTATTATTCATTATAGTCAAAAAATGTTGAATTGATCTTGATTTTAGCTTTAATATCATGAGTTAAGACGCAACTACTGAATGCATAACAGTATTATAGCAGACCAAAGTCAATGATTAAAAGTCTTTCATAGTCATCAGGAAGAAGGAACTCCAGTATCTGGTCTTCTGATAACTATGTACTAGTTTACACTCCTCCCCTGCTTAAGATGCAGTAACATTGCTGTTTTCTCTTTATTTACAAATAATGTAAAAAAAGAATAAGTAAAAACCCACACCTGTAATGTGATTTTCATCACAAAAGACCCCGAAGTGACTGACACGTAGGAGGGGACACTCTTAAGCCAGAGGGGCAGTGTGGCCCCAGCTGAGAGACGCCTGGCAGCCGCCCCGTCCCAGCAGCCCCACCACGCGGCAGGTCAGGAGGAGACAAGAGACACTGTCGCCAGTCGCATTACAGATTTCTGAGATTTCGCAAGCCCGAAGTGCATTTCAGCCAGGGCACAATGTTTAACACCCCTGCTTTTACAAACAGCACCAGGGGATCCTTATCCCTTGGTACAACCTTAGTTTAACATCTCAGCTAAACGATAGCGTCTCCGAGAGCAGTGTCCATCGTCGCCACGCTGGGGCATTGCTTCTGGAGGTTCTGGTCTAGCATCGTCACCTCATGGTCTAACAACACCAGTTACAGCAGAGGCATCCCGATTTTCCCAAGAGGTCTTCCTTCCTGCTACCAGCCAGGGCCTGGCTAACACGCAAATTCGGCAAAGCCACTTTTAATTATCCACAGCCGAAACTCTCTTTTCCGCATGGGATAAACCTGACACAGCTACTTACTTGAACCACTTTTAATGATGCCTCATTCACACTTATATCAAATGTGAAGGACTTCATTGCTGGACAGAAAGTTATTTGAATGACCAGACTGTTCAGTGTGTCAGTGCACATACTGTATGATGGGATACTTATTTCTTATAGATTGATGACCAACATGTGTTGGATGAATATTACTGATCTAGATATGGCCCAGCCCTGGAGGGACAAGTTCCATAACAAGATCGAAAGGTGTTTTAGTCCTTTCTGTTGCCTGCTGAAAGTTGTCAGAGCTTTCATTCACAGCTCTGATCAGCCAACGACACTCCAAGCGTGAAGCTCAAAAAAAGATCTGAAACTATACAGCTGTGGATACCCTGACCAAGCTCTTTTAATATCCTGCAGATTTATACTTACCCTATTGTAGGGCTGATGTTGTGATCAAAATGGTCCTGTACAAAACGACACACGATGCTTGACTTTCCAACTCCTGTATCCTAAAAGACGACAAAGAGTTACCATCATTCTGCTTTATAATGCCCGAGGAGAAGAAAGGTGGGCAGATAAAGCCCAGCACTTTCGTGCCAATCTGTTAAACATATGTTTAATGAGGCCCTGTCCTCTACTGGCAGGGTGGGTTGGAAAAGGTTTAGTCTGTTGCTTTACTGGTAAAAACAGCAATAGCCTAATCCTTCCCAAACACACAGAATTACAGAATACACAATTGTAACATCTTTCTCTTTACAGAGGAAAATATTTGGTTTCGTTTTGGAACAGATTAAACAAGCCCAACATATTCTGTAATGACATGTTGTTTCTCTTAATGGGTGTGTTATTCATAAATACCGAGTCAATCGCCTCCTTATCTGTTAAATGTGCTTCTCCAATACCTTCTCCGGACTGCTGATGGGCTAGACGATGACGCAACTGCTGTCGCTCGCTGCGTTCAATCGCCACCAACACAAAGTCTTTGATACAACCAAAATGTTACATCGACCCCGAAACTCGTATGTTACCGCAAAAAAAAATATTTTTTCCTAAAATGAACTAACAATCACAGCCCAACTCCTTCGCGACGTGTCATTTGCAAAACCCCGGTCCGGCGGTGAGGCTGAGTAAACAACTCCAGGCAGGTCTCGGGGAGTTGGAGAAGTTTAACGGGAAGGATTTCCGAGAGAGAGCGGAAAAAAAAGTTTGTTTTCACCAGTTTCGCCGAACAACAGACCCGGACAAGCTGGGACGTTCATGGGGGTAACATCAGCAAAGGGAGGAAAGGCTTCTCTTAAAAATAAAACCGGAGCCGAGTGGCTCCTAAAATAAAACTCGTGCAAGCAAGCATGACTTGCTCTCCTTTCATTTCCTACCCTACCCCCCCGAACTTATTAAACGGGACTGTCACGAAAACTTGCTTTGAACTGTCTTTTCCACTCACCCCAAGCAGACACACCTTCAGCTCCCGGATGGCCATGACGACTGCGCCTACAAATCCGCGATCATTCTCTGTGCGCTCTTCGCCGCTCGGGGGGATCGCCCTCAGATCATGCCTTTCCCGTCGTGGTCTTGTTGGTTCAAACGCCGCCTGTGCGATAAACCCCCCTTAGTCCACCAGGGCAGGCTTCATCTTTTTTTTTTTTTCCCTTCCTCAACAACCTCCCCCCCCCAAAAAAATAAAAAAAAATAACGGAAACCCAGCTGGAGCTGAACGCGAATCGCTCGCTGTCCGTCAGCGTGACGTGGCGCCGCTCCTCCCCGCAGCTCCCAGATTTCACGAAAGTCTCCAGCTGTTTCAGGGGAAAGAAAAAAAGGGGAAATCCCCCCCCCCCGGCATCGCCGTCGCTTGCAGACTGTCAGTAGCTTCAAATCCGGGGGGGGTGGACAGGAATACGCCGACGGAATTAACTTCACGCCAGTCAAAGTCGGCAGCATACTGGAAAGTGAAGTTGTTTCATTTAACATCTTTCTTTTTCGACATTGACATGTACCACGACTTACTGTAGCGTACGAAGTCGAAACCCTTGTTAAAAATCCCAGATGGAGTACTATTCTTAAAAGAAACGTTCACAATGGACTAGTGCGTGAAATTGTTGACGTGTGAGTTTTTGCAGCTCAGCTCGGTGTGGTGGGCCCTTATTTCAAGTGAGAGAGAGCAAGGTCTTTTCTAAGGTCTTTTCAGACCACATGTTTTACCACACAGGCTTTGAGGTCGTGTTTTCTATGAAGTAACGTGTCCTTTAAATGAGAGGTCAATCGATACTGCAGGTATGAACATTTGAATGTTGCAGCACATTTTTCCGAAGCTGACTCAAACCTATTCTCTTTGATAGAGCTCACTGTAAGTCCATGTTGGGGCTCGCCTGTGTACTTATACTGCCAGGCTGACTCATTTTTTTTAATCGCCTCATTTTGATTCCTGAAACTAAAAACAAAATGTCCAGCGTTTCAAAAACGGGAGTACCATAAAAAGAAAAGAAGTCGATCGCGTGCTGCTGCTGATCGACTCAACCTTTAAATGAGCTCAGAGCACAGATTCACCTCTAAATAAAGTTGTGCGGATCAAGTCTGTTCAATTCTACATCACTACTCGGCTGTGAGCTAGTGTACAATTGCCTGACCTGGACAACATATCCTGAAGCTTCAGGGCGGACTGCCCCTACATGTCACAGCTTCCACAACTTCCAGCACCTGCTTCATCCAGTTTGTGGAGAAGTTGGACTCTATCCCAGCCAGCAAAGGGCGCAAGGCAGGGTACACCCTGGACAGGACACCAGCCCATCACAGGGCACACACACACCCTGGACAGGACGCCAGCCCATCACAGAGCACATATAGACACACACACACTTGCCCCAGGGCCAGTTTTCCCAGAAGCGAATTCCCTGACCAGCATGTTTTTGGACCAGAGCACCTGGAGGAGACCCACGCAAACACGGGGAGAACATACAAACTCCACGCAGACAGCCCCCCAGGGCTGCACGTCAGCAGTGCTGACCACTGAGCCACCTGTGTCAGACCACGGCAAAGACAGTAAGTACCTCCTGCACTGCTGTCAATGGACAGGCACGGTCAGCAGACTGAGCTCACAGGTGGGATACATTGCACGTTTCCGGGATCTCACAAGGAAATGAGATGCACCTGGTAGCCACAGCCAAGGGGGGGGTGATACTTAATCAAGACATTTCAGTGTTTTCTTTCAAATTCTGTGCAACACATTTCCATAAAGTTCGCTCCATTATATGACATTATAGAGTAACTTGCGTGGGTCAGTGACACACAAAAAAAAAATCCCATATAAATGTATTTATAAAATCCAAGGGATGTGAAGACTTTCTGAAGGCGTTATATATGCTGCTATAAAAATTAAAAATAAAAATCCTCCTTCTAAGGAAGATAATGAATGATAAGAAACAAAAATTGGAAGGATACGGACAATTCTCACCCAGTAGCCAGCATGTCATTACAGTTCAATCTGATTCAGAGAATTATTATGCCCAAGAACCCCACAGTATTCGTTCTGAATACAGCCTAGAGCCCTGCTCGCGTTTGAATTGTAACCACTACGCACAGCATAGTGGAGAGCAACACTGGCAGTATCTCTGACATAGTGACGCCACAGACCCACCTAAAGCCTGGACTTCCTGGCGATGAGTGGATTATGTACAGCACTGAGCTCTCGGTACTGATCAGCTGAGAGCTGTGTCACTCTGCAGTGACGACTGACTCATCTCCCCATTTCTTTGTGACTTGGAGACGTCTCCTCCAATACGGCCTGTGAAAAAAAGACAAATACTCTGTGACAGAGGGTATGGGCTAGATGTATTGAGTATCTTAAGTCCTGCATTTCTCAACCGAATGCCGTACAGATTCAGATAAGAGGTGAGAATGTAGGGCCCTTTCAGGAATCCGTGTAGTGCCAGTTTAGCTCCGTGCATTTTGAAAATGTACTCATTTGCCACAAGAGGGAGCCGTATTACCTGGGTTTCAAGAGCCAATTTGCAACGGGGCGTCGAGAAGAGAAATGTGAGCTGTAAAATGCGCTCTCTTTTTTCCCCTTTTATCCAGACAATACTGACTCCGGCTTATCGGTACTATACGAAATGCTCGCTTTCAAACACTGAGGCAAGGACATTTAAAAAGCAAACAGAACATTCTGATGCAGTTTTCAGCTCAGAATTTAAATCGAGGGCTGCTATGTTAAAATTGTATGAGGTACCAGTAAGCTCTTACCGAGAGCATAGTTCTGCTCACCATATTTTAAAAAGAGATATCCTCGGCTCTGGAATCAGTCCAGAAAAAAAAAGGAAACGACATACCTGGACTTAAAAATAATGTCCTACACTGACTGACAATATCCTTCCCCTGAAGGAACTAAACTTTTTTTTTCGTCTCGAACACGGCAGACTTCAAGGGGATCTGATGCAAGTATTCTAAATCCTGCAAGTCGCCGATTAAAACCAACCCAGCGGCCTACACCATGAATAAACCCTGAAACGAGGGTTAAAGGATACAAGTGTAGACTTTGTGGAAGGGCGCTTAAAACCCGGGCACACGAGCCACTTTCTTCTGCACGAAGGGTTGTGGGAGTCTGGAACAAGCGAGTCGGCCGTGTTGTTAAAGCTGGTACCCCTGGTTCCTTCACAAAACGTGACTCCCTCTCGCTTGTAACCATTGTGAAACCCTACATAAGCTATCAGCGTAACTTTTTTTTTTTGCACGGAAAGGAAGGCGTGTTGCTGAATATGTCATGTGCCAACAGCGGACTTGCATTTTAATATTTAAGAGACGGTGTTTCAGCCGGACAACGTGGGGGGGGGGGCAGATTGTGCGTAATTCCATACGTGAGAACGGGCTGTGAGCGCGCACAGTACTGTCTTCGCACAGGCGTCGAAGGAGTTTTTTTTTCCCTTTTGCCACATGCGCATTTCAATTGTCAAAAGGCAAATTGTTAATTGGGGATGATGCAGTGATAGGGGTTGATGTTTTCGGTGCTGAAACAGCACAAAGTAATAATAATAATAATTGCTTACGCTTATATAGCGCTTTCTGGACACTCCACTCAGAGCTCTTTACTGGTCATGGGGATCCCCTCCACCACCAGCAGTGTGCAGCCCCACCTGGATGATGCGCCAGTACGCTCTGCACACACCAGCTCTCAGTGGGGAGGAGAGCAGAGGGATGAAGCCAGTTCAGAGCTCAGGCGTGTAAGAGCCCGGATAGCTCAGTCGGTAGAGCATCAGACTTTTAATCTGAGGGTCCAGGGTTCAAGTCCCTGTTCGGGCGATGCTTTTCTGCAATTTCCCTCACAGGATCAGTAAAGTATCTATCTATTATCTATTAGGAGGCCATGATTGGTAAGGGCCAATGGGAAATTCGGCTCGGACGCCAGGGTTACACTCCTTCTCTTTTCAAGAAACGCCCTGGGATTTTTAATGACCACAGAGAGCCATCGGTCATGCTAATAAAGCACCTTGAATTTAATCGAGTCAGGACCTCGGTTTTACATCTCATCCGAAGGACGGCGTCTTTTTACAGCATAGTGTCCCCGCCTCTATACTGGGGCATTAGGATCCACACAGACCGCAGGGTGAGCGCCCCCTACTGGCCCCACTAACACCTCTTCCAGCAGCTGCCTTAGCTTTCCCAGGAATATAAAAGTTTCCGAGTGTCAAGTTATCATAAACGTATGTTTATTAAAGGTGTGTTTGTCATTAAGCTACATAGGGAATTTATACTGTACATTTTTATATGTACAGTATATGAATGTATTTGTTTCAGGACTTTTTCTAACCATATTCAAAACAGGAAATCATGGGGTCGACAATGTGGTCCCCGTCACTATACTGGGGCATTAGGACCCACACAGACCACCCCCTGCTGGCCCCACTAACACCTCTTCCAGCAGCAGCCTCAGCTTTCCCATGGAGTCTCCAATCCAGGTACTGACCAGGCTCACACCTGCTGAGCTCCAGTGGGGCTGCCAGCGGTGAGCTGCAGGGTGATATTGCTTCTGAACGAGGTGATACAGAAACAAGTCATGACTCTGCTAGAGAAGAAACAAAGCGCAAATTTAGGAAAGAGAAGATCCAGGATTAAAACTGTTCCAAAAATTGGGAAAATAAAATCCCCCTTTGACACTAAATGAAAGGCTGGACTTCTACTAAACAGACTGTGAAGGACATAGCAGGGAAGCAAAATGCTTGAGGTATAAATGTTGCGGTTCTGTACTTGGGTGCTATAAAAGTTTACAACGGTTTTATGCACATTCTTGTTTATTGTTTGGATTGGGTGAATGGACTCATTTTCGTAAAATTGTCTCCATGGCTTTGTTCAGTCGAATATATATATTTTTTTCTCTTCATGTTCTGTATTGGCGCTGTGATCAGAAAAGACTTGGCCGCCCCATCCGTCTCCCATCCCGGGGACCCAGCGAGCGCCGCGCTGCTCCCGCGGCCGCCCGCCAGAGGGCGCCGTGCTTTCCGCCGCGCCGCTGAAAGCCCTCCGTCCACCCATCTCTCTCTCTCGGGCTGCGCCGCTCTCCTCTTTCCCCTCGCCGCCTGCTTCTCCGGTTGTTGCCTCAGCTACCGAGGCCACTTTAAATGTAGCACCAGGACAAGATGGCGGGTACGTACCGCTCCGGCTCCCCTTTCGAGCCTGGCCCCCCCTAAACCCCCTCTTTTTTAGACCCTCGCCGTCCCGCCAGCGGCGGTCTCTCCTGCCGTCGCTGCCCCGTTTCTGGAGCCGTGCTCGCCGGGCGGAGGGGGCTGCCGGGCCGGCGGCTGACCTCCCTCTCTCTCTCTCGTCTTCTCTTTCGCAGATTTGTCCTTGCTCCAGGGAGATTCGCAGGAGGAGATAGACGGATGTAAGTTTCCGTGTGTGTGTGTGTTTGTGCAAGAGAGAGGGAGAGAAAGAGAGTGCTGGTTTTTTTTAATTTCCTCCCCCCGTAACTTTCTCGCCGCGACCGAGTGCGGCGGTGGTGGTGATGATGATGATGATGATGATGATACACGGTGGTGTGTTGTTGGAGGAGCTCCCGGCTGGTCTGCGGGGCCTAGGGAGTTAGCATCCGGAAACCAGCCCTTCTTTTACAAATACAAAAGCAAAGCAAAAAAAAAAAAAGTTTTTGGAGCGTCTCGTTTTGGGCTGCCCCGGTGGGGCATGTTTTTTTTCGGGGGGTGGAGACGCGTGTTACCCATTTTATTTGGGTTTCCTGAAGAAAGAGAGCGGGCAAGCAAGGAAGGGGGACACGGGTTCAAGCCGGCGGCTGCGAGGGTTTGTCGCCCCCCCAAAGAGACGTGGAGGGGACAGAAAACGTATGAAAAACAGCCACCCTGGAAGTGTGTTTGCAAGGCGAGGAGGGATTTCTGGCGAAGAGGAGTCTCGCCGGGGAGGAGAAACTGTAGCCCCAGACTGAAAAGGGACGACACAGCCGGCGGTCCATGTGGACTCTCCTTCATCGCAAAAGTCACGACGGTACCAGCAGCCGGGCCGAAGGGCGCCGGACAGCGCACCGCAGGGCAGCGGCGTGTCGGTGTGTTTTGCAGGGCGATTGCAAACCCCTCGCAGCTGAGAGTCGGACCTGCGGGCTTCGCGTCTTGTGTTCAGCAGCGAGACGTTGCCACCGGGGTCGGGAAAAGTGGCTGTTGCACTTCACGAGTGAATTGCTGGCTTCTCGTGTGTGACGAGTTTCTTTTTTTTGTGTGTGTGTGTGTGGGTTCGCCAGTGGTGCCCGAAGAAGTGCTGGTGGTTGAAGTTCAATTGTGGTGGTAGCGAAGGGGGAGTGTGTTGCACCCTGGCAGGGATGTTGTAATCCGTCGTCCATCGGTACTGTCGAACTGAGCAGGCTTCACAAACAAAACACGCCCCTCCTCACGGCTGTTTTGTTTCGATCCATACATGGAAGTATTTAACCTCTTCACCGCCAGGTTTCGTGCATTGGATGTAAAGTTTTCCTTTGTTTAGCATCTACTTACCTATTGATGAAAGTTAAAGTAAGTTGTGCAACGTACTCTCCTTTTAGATACATCTGTAAAAGAATAAAAAAAAACACACATCTGGAGCAGGCTTCTGTCTTTTGAAGTATCATGGAGACTAGATTCGCCCTCACCAGCTACTAAAGAACTTGCACCTTAACTGTTGCAGTTGAAAAGGATGTTACGATGGAAGTTAAAGTTGTTGGAAAACTGTGCTGCTGCTGCCAGCAACTGTAACGGGTTCCTTTAGTAAATCTTCCATTAACAGTTTTCTCCTTGTTAATCCAGGCACTTTATATAAGCATAACATCATGGCTCTGAAGTATTTTGGTTTTGTTTGAAGTTTCTTTTGTATATAGTTAAAGCTTCTATGCATACAAGAAACAAGCTTCACTGATGTAAGAATCATTGATTTTCTGATAAATGTTTGCCTGCTTTATGATTGTAAGCCCGTATTTCCAATGTTTCTGATAGTTGGTGTGGATGACTACAGCTCAGAGTCTGATGTCATTATTATACCTTCAGCCCTGGACTTTGTTTCTCAAGATGAGATGCTGACACCTTTAGGAAGACTGGATAAATACGTTGCAAGCGAAAACATTTTTAACAGGTATGCCAGAGGCCAGAAAACGTTTTTCTTTTTAGCCTGCGACTTTGAATTAAAATATGATTAGTGCTGCCTCATTCTGTTCCCTCAGACTGTTGCTGAATCATATTTAATTTATTGTGTTTTGGAAACTTGTCCATTCCCTGTTGTCTGATGTCCAGGCAAACCTCTGGGCTTTTTACATATTTTTTCCCACCTTTGCAACTTGCAAATCTAATCAGTCTTGCTCCTTTTCATTCTTTGCATGTATGATTTTCGCTGTGTATTGTTTCAACGTGAAGTCAAGACAGGTCCCCTGGAGATCCCAGCGTACTGCTGTGCTAGAGAGAGAGGGTGAAAGAACAGAGCCACCGAAGCCCCTGGACACCGTGGTGCTGCTGCGCTTGTGCTGGTGTAGTGGCCTGAGCTGTCGGCCGACTGGAACCAGTTGGTATGATGTATCATTTTCGGTTTCTCCAGACAAATGGTGGCCCGAAGTTTGCTGGACACTTTGAAGGCAGTCAGCGAGGATGAACGGGACTGCATCGCTGTGCTGGAGAGAGTGAGCCGGCTGGCAGAGGATTCAGGTAGGCCCCGACTCTTCTCCGCCTTCAACTTGGCAAAGGGAGTCCGAGCAGTAATAGATCACCTTGGTTCACTCGGTCCTCTCTTCTCTACTGTGCTTGTCCTGGGGCTCACTCCCATGTGTCGCCCACTTGTTGTGATTCTTACAACTTTGCATTTTAATCTCATGATGTGGTTAATTTAGAATTGCTTATAATGGGGCTATACATGTGAGATTAGTTTCATGGCGGTTAAACTTTTTTGTATATTGAGTGGTTGTTAATCCTTTTCTTAATTAATAAATTCTAAATACCCTTGAGTAGTGTGGTTTCCTGATTCAGTGGTCTGTAGCAGTTAAGTAGTGTCTATAATCCTGCTGGTTTACTGGTGTGGTGCTGCTCACAAGCTAAGATTCTGAAGTGTAGGTAACGTTCACTTGATTAAAAGGCCAAGGGCAGTGAAATACTAGACCTCTTAATTAATCCAGTTTTGGGCCCCCTGCTGTTTGACACATTTGAGTGGATTAAAGGATCCACTGTTGTAGCAGTGCAGTTCTTCCACATGGATGCAAGCTCGTATTATTTGCACGGTTCCAAAAGGTTAAGATCGTTTCTATTTTAGGTTGTCTCGTGGTGCCCACGACATGCATGAGGGTTAAAAATGAACTAGTTTTAAAACAGCTTCTGCTGAGAATCCCAGTGACTTTTTGATCTTTGCTCTAGCAAGCAATTCACACTGTATTTACAACAGCTGTGCAAAACGTTGGTCTGCAGTGCAGAAATGTATTGAAGCCTCTCTGTCTTTGTTTATCTTCAGTTGTTTTGGTTGCATATTCACGCTTGCACGAAAATGAAGATCACAGATAGGTTTATAACTGAATATGGTTGCCATTGCATGGTAAATAATGCAGGCCAGATATATACCTGACAAAGATCCTTAGGCCTCTGGTAAAGCTCAAGATTTAAAATAACTATTAATCACTTGGTGTAGTGATAGACCCCCAACTACAGCTAGGAGACTGACTTGTTGTTTCTTATTATTTATGTTTAGAGAAGGAAATTGGTCTTTGTTGAATAGTTTAAGGGATCAAAGAGAATGACAGTATGTTGAAGCTATAGTGCTTGTAAGGACGCTGTATCGATAATATTGATGTAATCAGTATCAAGAGGTTAAGCAGATACACCACAATACTAAAAGTTTTGTACTGTACAGTTTGCCTTGTGCACATACTCGGTTCCGCATTTCGTGCACTGTGGAAAGTGTCAACGTGTCCTGGCATGCTTTTATTATCTAGCCAGACAGAAATGCTTCTTTTTTTTCCAGCTTGGGTCCATGACACAGTGGAGAACCCCACCCCTAGATTAATCACTCGGGAGTTTACTTCCATGTTACACATGCTGCAGTTGTGCGAGGAAAGCTTATTCGTGTCTGCTGTTGAGTCAAAAGACGCTCGCGATCGGCTTTCCTTCTGGAGGCTCAGATCTGTCACAGCGGGTGCCTGCTGCCCGGAGAAGTTCTGTCTCCTCCAGATCCTCCTGGCCAGCTGGCTGCACGTATTAGTGATTTCTGAAAAGCTCTGGTGCGTAGTTTGTTCTTTAAAAACTCTAAAGCAAACACCAGTGTCTTAATCTCCGTATTTTAAAATCAAACGTCCTGGAACAGTAAGCGTAGATACAATCGAGAGACCTGGTCGAATGGCAATTGCTTGAGTCGGATACACTCACGTCACGATTAGTAGCGGGACCGGCAGTACGCACAGGTTGTGTGTCACTGTCGTGGGCCGGAGCCTGGGTCTTGTTGCTAGGCAGGTGCGATCATGTTTCCTCAAGCCGTGAAGCCCTTGGTCGGAGGCTCTCTTGGCTTTCTACAATTACGGCGCCCCCCTGTGGCCCCCCTGGGCACTTGCAGGTTGGTGCACATTGAGCAGGGCCGAAGACCTGTGGCCAGGCCACCCCTCCGTGACCATGATGGGAGACTCCTGCTCTTGAGGCCTGTACGGCATCTGGTTCTCCCAATCCGGTCGTTCTGGGGGTGGCGATGCTGCCATCGCTGGTCTCTTCACGAAGTGTGGAGTTCTTTGTCCTTTTTCCAAGATCTCCTTTCGTTTCGGGAGCATCGCCACAGCTGGGGACAAGAAAAGGTTCATTCCATTTTCTAGGGTAGAGACCATGCCTGATGCAGCCAGCCGCTGGAATTGCAGCGGTTCGGTTTGGAGATGGCAAGTGTCCCTAACGCGGATACACCTTCCTTCTTGAAACAAGGCTCACAGCGAATGTCGAATGCTTCCTTTGCAGGACTGCGTTCTTCATAGGGTCCAGTTCGGAGATGAATTGCGTCATGTCTTTGCGCTCTGTACCGTAATGCAGATGTTTGGGTTTTTTGCTTTTTGCGCGACTTTCGACATCCCCAGCCTCTCGTATCCACCCTCATGATTCACTGTGGGTTGGAAGCCGTCGTGGCTCTGCTCCAGGCTGATGTCTCCTAAAGCGTATTTCTTGGTTCCACAGTTTCAGCGGTTATTTTTTATCCTTCATTCAGTTAAGGACTCATTTCAAGGCCTTGTGCGTTGTTCTCAATGGGTGTGCCAGCTCCTGCTTTTTGTAATTTTCCACTTAGATCTTGATATGCTAGGACCCAGGATGGTGCGTATAAGGTGACATTTTTGCAAGGCACAGAGCCCTTCTCTGGCAATCTAAAGATATGGGGTGTTAAGCTGTAGATGTGGCAATGCTGTGGTATGTGGTGGCCTCACACAGTGTTGTAAACACGAGTATAAAACATCACAGGGTGGTGGAACAGCTTAAACAATATCGCGTAAAAATAATTCACTCCTCTCCGTGCTGCGATATAAATTTGGCAGAGTTGTATTTCTGCTTCTTTGTTGGCCTGACGTAATGGAATGAATTCTGGGGAGGTGGTGGTTCGATGACATTGCTTCTTGGCCCACCGTGCAATTGTGGGAATTCGTACTGAAATACGTCCCAAAGACTTGAACTGGCTGATGTTCCAGCTGTCTTTCCAGTGTGCATACCACCGGCGCTGGTGTGTTTTTGCGGTTGTTTTTGGCAACAGGGGTGAAAGATATGTAAATGTTTAAGGCAGATGATAGGTTCTGAGTTGGCTCCGTGCAAGAATTCTGTGCATAAATGGGGAATGTTTCTCGATCTGCACGTTGGCTGAAAAATGCTTGCTGTGAAAGAAGTGGAATTTTAATTTTGATACACGTCTTTATAAATCCGTGTCATGTGTTCTTCATCACACGCGGTCTCTCTTTCTTGTTGTGACTTCTTGAGTGTGAAATGCATGTTGAAATTTATTTCAGAGCCCACTGTCCGAGCAGAGCTCATGGAGCAGGTTCCTCATATCGCAATCTTCTGCCAAGAAAACAGGCCTTCCATTCCATTTGCTTTCTCTAAATACCTGCTGCCTATCGTGGTGAGATACCTCGCTGACCAGAACAACCAGGTAAGAGATCCCACCTCATTCGGCACATGACGATGTGCAGCTTAACAGACGAGGATGACCAGTACAGTGTAGTCACTCCTATCCGCCCTACTCTATGCTCATTAAAATTGTATATTCGAACCCATTTGCTTGAAAACATCCCTAGGAGACCAGATTTTAATGGCTTATGGAGCCTTTATAACATTGAGTGTGTAAGTGTGGGGGGGTGGAGCAAATTTGGAGGAGAATTAATATTTATTCAAATTGAAAGGTTTTCTTCACTCACTGGAAACTCCACCCCCATTTAGGTCATCGCTTCTTGCTTCAGTAGGAAATAGCAGGTACAATTCTGTGCACCTGCATGAAAGACAGCGCTCCCTCGCGGTGCTTTGTTAAACGACGTGAATCGGCGAATTTTACAGGTGCTGTTGTTGTATCGATGCATCCATACGGTTTTTTATGCTGATTTGTTTTGAATTCCTATGTGAAGCTGATCCAGAGCACAGAGCTGAGAAACCAAGCCTGTACCTTTCGCCCGTGAATTGTCTGTGATGGTTTCGCCGTCAGCGTAGTCTCACGTCTCCTGCCTCTCGTGCCCCCCGCCCTGCCGCTGCAGGTTCGGAAGACCAGTCAGGCCGCCCTCCTGGTGCTGCTGGAGCAGGAGCTCATCGAGAGGGACGACGTCGAGACCAAAGTGTGCCCGGTCCTCGTGGACCTCACCGCCCCCGACAGCAACGACGATGTCAAAACAGAAGCCATGGCGGTGAGTGGCTCCACCCGGTGGTTAGGCGTCAGATGACTTCCTTGATTCCGTCATGTGACACCCCCCCCCCAGGTAATTGAGACGATTGGTGTTTTATTAGTCCCAGGGTGTGAGAGCATCTGCTCTGCGATGGGGGGGGGGGCGTACCCCACCTTGCACCCCGCAACCCTGCATTGGATAAGCGGTTAGCACATGGAAGGATAGTGCCAGGGTGTGGTATACAAAAGCATTTGATCAAGTTGTAAACGGCTGTTTTTCAGATATTTCAGACATCCTTGAATATCTGTGGCGATTACATGTGAACTGAAGTGGGCTTCCTAAAGCTGCCCCCTCTACAGCTGCTTTTGTGAATCGGTCCCCTCTTCTCCTTCCTCAGATCATCTGTAAAATGGCGCCGATGGTGGGCAAGGACATCACCGAGCGGCTCTTCCTGCCGCGCTTCTGCGAGATGTGCTGCGACTGCAGGATGTTCCACGTCAGAAAGGTCGGTGTGCCGGTATATATTAAACCCCGCTCGAGAGCCGCGTGGCAGAACAACGAATCGAGGCCCTTTCAGGATAAAGGCCACGCTGCCACTCTTGTACTGCGAAGCCCAAGCGAGAATCGCCGGCGATGCCAGCGCTGAGAATCAAAATGCGGGTTTCAGAGTTTTGCCTTGCCGATGCTGGGTGATGAATAAGCTCTCTCGGCTGTTCAAAACCGTTCAGTCACATACTTCTTGAGAGTCAGACCACCGACGGTCAGAATGTCACGTCGTCGTATTTTGCCCGGTTTTGTTGTTCTTTACCCTTGTTCTTGTGAAATAGTCAAAATGTGTGCAATTGTGAGAGTTTCGAAATGAGGTCACGCCTGCTGACTTCGTGCAGCCCCCCCCACCACGAGCTGCCCCGGTAACGTTCACGGCGCGGTGCTCCGCTGGGGCCTGGAGTCCGAGCCTGGCGCTCGAGGCGACTGCAGTTCAGGTCCGCTCTCTCCTCGGCTGAACTGAGCCTGGCGAAGGGCTGCCTCTTTGTGAGGGCAGTGTTGTTTTGAGCGTGCCTCGCTCACCGTAGTGCGGCGCTGAATGCGGTGTGCTGGGTACTGCCTCTGAGGCCTTCTGGTTTTGTTTTTGCCAGGTCTGTGCGGCCAACTTCGGAGACATCTGCAGCGTGGTGGGCCGAGAGGCTACTGAGGAGCTGCTGGTAGGTGCGGGTTTCAGACTGACTGCTGAATAATAGTAATAATTAATAATTGCTTACACTTATATAGCGCTTTTCTGGACACTCCACTCAAAGAGCTTTAAAGGTAATGGGGACTCCCCTCCACCACCACCAGTGTGCAGCCCCACCTGGATGAGGAGTGGAGTGCGTTAGTGTGGAGACGAAGACTAACACTTGCATAGGAAAACATATTCTTTTCTATATAGTTTATAATGTAACATAAGTTTTTCGAATTATTTTTTCTTAATATTGTGAAAGGCTGATTTTTTCAAAACTGAAAACCTTTAGAACATAGAGTGGCGTAGAGCGTGTTTTTTTTTTGCCATCGTGTGTTTTTTCGAGAGGTCATATTATTCACCCATATTGGCATTGTGGAGGAGTGAGGTGCATAAGAAGCGATATTTTTTTTTTTTGAACGCAGAACGGGGTAAATGGCGGTACTGGTACAGGCACGCAGGTCTTGCTGGATTAGTGGAGGCTTTTCTTGAAGCTTATTTGTTCTTTCATCCTGTGTGCATGTCCTGGCAATCAGTTTTGAGACGGCATACGAAAGGCCAAGCTGCAACGCAGTGTTTCCATATCTCACGACAAAGAAGAAATTGCACAAAGCCCTCGGAGTGCACACCAGTGTATTTTTTTCCTGTTACTTAATGTTTCCTGGTCTGGCCAGCGTGGTGAGTCAAGGCCTGTTTCCTCATTGAGGAAGCCCTCTTTCCCCTGTGAGGCTGGAAGGGGTTTGGGGTTCGTGGTATCGTCATCGGCAGCGTGCCGTGTTGCCTGTTGCCTGTAGTCGGGGAGCTGTTCGCCTCCCCCAGGTAAGACGAAGCCTGTCGGGGGCAGGCCCTGCTGTGGACGCCGGCTGCCGGGGAAGGAGCCCGACAGAGGGACAGAAAAGGTGTCTCGCTCCGGGCCTGAGTGCTGTTTTGCTCTCTGCTCTTCCTGCCCAGCTTCCCAGGTTTTTCCAGCTCTGCTCGGATAACGTCTGGGGGGTGCGGAAGGCCTGTGCCGAGTGCTTCATGACTGTTTCCTCTGCCACGTCTCAGGAAGTCCGCAGGACAAAGCTCTCTTCCCTCTTCATCAACCTCATCAGTGACCCTTCCCGATGGGTGAGAAGAAGCCTTCTGTTTCTTTCGCTTTCGGAAAGCAATGCCAGTGGCCTTTCTCAGGTTCACTGTGGTTTAAGCAGTTTTCACCCTACTTTTTTTTAGCCTTAAGCGGCACAACATCTTTAAAGGGCTGTTATGCAGATGACGATTTGCAAAGCTGCTTGTTTACTAAAGTCTTGACTTCCCATAGCTCGGTAATAGAAAAAGCTCCAAAACCGCAATCATGAGCTGGACTTGGCAGAATATAAACTCTTGCCCCACCCATTATTGTATTATAGATACACTGAAAGGTGTGGTCACGTGTTTAATGCAAAACTAGGCAAAGGAACTATTCAGGTCCTGCCGGAATCTCTAGTTACAACTCTTCAGTGCACAGGTTAGAAGTTAGTGGGACACCGAATGGGTTTATTTATGGTCCAGGTCATTAAGTGTATCAGCTGTGATGGATTGTGCAGGATCCTTGCTTCATCTGCTTGTAATTGTTTAATCTCAGTTTTACTCGAGTGATGATCCATCGATAGTGTTTCAGTCGCCCTGCCTAAGCGATATTGCTGTGGTCTAGGAGAACTTGAATTGGTTACTGGTTTGGGAGCTGCCTTGTTTTTTAGGCTGCCCTCTATTTACGAGATGCAGCGTGGAAGTTAGCACCTGCAAACCTGTGAATCACAAGTGCCGTAGGCTGCAGTAATGTTTAATTTTCCGTGCTTCCAGTCGGTAAAAATCACAAGGGGGAACTGTGCGTAGTGAAATAATTTGCTACCCCTTTGCCCCAGAAGGGGGAATGAAGGGGTACCTCTCCGTGTTAAAGTGGGCTGTCTTGCATTCTTTTTGTTCTTCTTTTTAACCAGAATTGGTCCTCCTTTTGTCCCCTGTCAGTCTGAGCATTGCTACCCATGTAGCAAATACAACACAGCCAAGAGGAAACATCGCTCTTTCAGCTTCAAGAAGAGCAGCTGGCCAGACTGGGTGTAGTGCAGACCCTGCCTCTCAACCCTCTTGGCCTAACTAATTAGACCACAGTAGAACACGCACCAGGCTGCTGTTTTGTGCCCTCTCCAGATACCAATTTAATTTGTTAGATTGTATTTACTGGCTTATTTAAAACCAGGAGCAGAGTATGATATTTGGATGACTTACACCCACTGACTGTTTCTTGCTTTGGAACTGTGCTCGCTTGCACAGTCCACACAGAGAGGGATCCCCAGAAGAGCAGCTTTCAGCTGTGTGGAAGCAAATGTAGGGCTTTGTCCCCCGTCCTCAATATTCACTAGTAGGAGCAGAGGGTATATCTAGAAGTATTGATGGTACTTGATTTTGAAATATTCGTTTTTTTGTTACTGGAATGCTGAATGCATATGGCTGTTCAAAAGGTGCCTTTATTCTAAAGCATTAATGAGGAGTCTGAGTTGATGAGCTTGTTTTAATGTTTGTCGGTTGCAAATGAACAGCATGTTAGTATGTTTAAAAGGTGCTCTTTGGTGAAAATATTTCCTCTCTTGATGTATAGTGAGCTTTGTATAGAGATCATTTTGAAGTGATTCTGAAGATTAACTTGCTTCTGCAAAATAGTCACCTGGTGGAGATGATTTGCCATGATTGGAAGGGGAGTAACCTAGTAGTCTCCTTGATTTTCGTCTGCAGACCTCGGCCCAGTTTTTGTTTGATTTGCCGCACGTTCTGTCAAAATTCTGGGATTCCCAAAAGCTGTGTTTAACAGGCATCGTGGCAGTTTGAGTTCACCGGGGTGCCTGTGGAAATGAGCCGCCAGGAGCGTGTGAGCGTGCTGGGGTTCGCTGCCCCTTGCGTGGGCGGCGCCAGGCTGGTCCTGGAGTCCCCCGCGCGACCGGAAGAAGTCCGGTTCCCGAGCGGAAGGGCCGGCAGCGGTTGTGTTTCCGTGCTGGCGAGCTGGGAGGAGTGCGGGGTCCTGCTCTCGTTCCTGCATGCGGTTCTTCTTCTGGGCTTTGGGGGGGGTGGATGCTCACGCGCGCTCCCACTTCTCCTTGCAGGTGCGGCAGGCTGCCTTTCAGTCCCTCGGTCAGTTCATCTCGACGTTCGCCAGTCCCTCCGGCTCTGGACAGTGTTTCAAAGAGGAGGACGAGGGCGCCCAGGAAGGGTGCCGCTGCGTGCCGCTGCAGAGCAGGTACCCCTCGGCCTCGCCGCGCCGGGTCCCCCGGCCGGCCCGCCTGGAGTCGGCCAGGTTTCCCACCCGTCTGGCCCCTCCTCTGTCCTCCCAGAGGGCCTTCCTTGCCTTTTAAATTCTTTCAAATATTGTATTTTTTTATTTGAAAAAGAGAAGAAAAGCTTTTTCTTAGCTTAGAGCAGAGGAGATAGGTTGTCTGTGCTGGAGGCGGACAAGAGGAAAGGGCTTTGCCGCTCGGTGTAAGAACACGAGAGAGGTTCCGTTCAGGCCCCTAGCCCGTGGGGCTGTTGTCAATGAATGTGAGGATCTCATCCAGCTGTTGTGTGGAAGAAACCAGGGTATCGGATTCAATGACCTCGGCTGGTTCGTTTGTTCCACACTCCCGCAACCCTTGGGGTCTGCTTTAAGTGCACTCCCAACTAAAAAAAAAAAAGACATCTTTTTTAATGATGTTTTCTGTTTTTTATATCTTTCCACGTTTGAGAGTGCATGAGAGCTTTGACACCTAGTCCCGTTGCTTTAAGACGTTGCTGTGTTCTTTCCTCTCCGCAAGCACGGACCCGAGGTCAGGGGCGTGCGTGGAGCAGAGGGTGGGGGTGTGCTAGCCAGGCCCCGCGCCGAGTCGTCGGTCATTTTAGAGTGTGTGAAAGAGACAGTAGGAAAGGCTTTAGCTGCTTCAGCTCTTACTTTTTTAATTGACCTTGCTTGAACAAGGTCATTTAAAACCCCCTGTTAAATGTCTTGGCATGTCTTGATTTAAGCCGGCTAGTGGGGAGAACACATTTGTTGTAACTGTTGTTCTGTATAAGTTTCCCGATAAATTCTGACAATGCATAATGGTGTTGATGATTCTTCATTTTTTAATTGAATAATTACATATGCTGGCTTTTAGTTCAGTCTCCCTAGTTTTTTTAACAGTGATATTTGACTTTATACGTCATCAGCCTTTTGGCTTCATAATTAACCGTTTTAATTTTAAGGACAGAACTTATAAAGGTTAGAGAGCTTTAACGGTACCTTAAGTTAGTCTTGATTCGTGTGCTGAAGCAAAAACCAATCCTATCTATAGTACCAATACACAATATAATGTGCAAGAAGGATACAACCGTTTTTTTTTTGTTTAAGGTCAATCACAAACTGCAGATGTGGGGGACAGAGTTTAATAGTAATCATAACCATTCTATACAAAACCGATTCAACAGAAAGAACATGTAACTGAAGTTGAATTGATGTGCAGTCCAAGTTCAGAGAG